ATTACAGGGTGTGAGCCACCGCGCGCCGGCCTAACCTTAAGTAGTTCTAACAGAAGGTAAGAAAGAATGAAAGTATGCTTTCATTTAAGAAACTAGAAGGAAGAAAGAAAATATGACTCAGAAGAAATTTAGGGGAGCCTGGTCCACACCCTGATCCCTCCCTCTCTGTTCTCCCCCGAGCTGTAGTGATGCCGCTGTTATTGTGCTGTGGGGCGCCGTATTGTATTTGTTCCTCGCAAACAGGGAACACATGTTACTTCCCAACTCGAACAGAAACAGGCTTTCACACACAGGAGTCAACCAAGGCCTCCACAGTGTCACGGTTATTCAGACTCTTCACTGCCCACTCACATGAGGGCCCAGGAACCAGCAGCAACTTCTCCGGTCAGGGAATCGCAGCGGGCAGCCAGCGTGGCCAGGAGAGGTATCACCATGCCAGCTCCGAAACCCAAAGCTTCTTCCGGCAGGGCTCTTCAAATCTCCCACTCTTTATTCTGAACCTTTGTAAAACACACCAGCCAGTTGAGAAGAATAGTGTACAGCAGAACATCCCTCTTCTAGAGTCTCCCATCGAACGCTACATTGGTCCAAGCTCTGCCCTGGTTTCTCCCTATCCCCACAGCTTATGGCGTCTCGGCGCATTTTTTTTTAATAATTTCATTGTAATTATTTTTAATTTTGATTTTTGGACAGGGTCACTCATTGTCACCCAGACTGGAGCACCGAGTGGCGTGATTCAGCCACTCCTGGGCTCAGTGATCGCCCCCAGGCCCTCAGCTCCCAAGATAGGTGCGTTTGTGGTTTATAGCGTGCTAACACCAACACAACAGCCTAATTTTTGTATTTTTGGTAAGGAACGGGGTTTTTCTGCAATATTTGTCCAGGCTGGTTCAACACTCTGAGCTCGGTTGATTCTGCCTACTCGCTCCTCCCAAAGTGCTGGGATTCAAGGCATAAGGCCACTTGCTGGCCTCCACACTTTTTTTTTTTTTTTTTTTTTTTTTGCACACCTGCTCTGTCACCAGGCTGGAGTTGCAGTGGTAGGTATCTCAGTTCACTGGACAGCCTTGCTTCCTGAGTTCCAAGAATTTTCATGGTCTCAACCCTCCCTAGTAGCTGGGGATTACAGGGGCCTGGCGCCATGCCAATCTATTTTTTTTCTATTTTTGGTTGGAGACAGGGTTTCCCCATGTTGGCCAGGGCTCTGGGTTTTGAAACTCTTGACCTAGGGTGGTCCACCATCTCGGCTCCAGAGTGCTCTGGGATTTACAGTCTGTCAGTCCACTGTGACCGGGTTCTTAATAATTTTTTTTTTTTTTTTTTTTTTGAGACGACGAGTCTTGCTCGTCGTACCCAGGGCTGGAGTACAGTGGCGGTTCAGCTCACCTGCAAGTCCGCCTCCCGGGTTCACGGCATTCTCCTGCCACAGCCTCCCGAGTGCTGGGAACTACAGGCGCCGGCCCTCGCCGGTCTAGTTTTCTTGTATTTTTTTAGTAGAGACGGCCTTAATACATTTTAAGGTAAATTGCAGTCCACTCCCTCTGAGCCCTTCAGCAGGCAGATTATAGGGTGTTATATGTAAAACTGTTTATTTAGAAATAGAATACTTGTTCCCCGGTGCTGCAAAGAAATAGCACTCTAACATAAATTTAATTATCTCAGTAAGGCCGTTTCTACATTTTGCAGAAAGGGCGCTCATTGCAGACGGAACAATGGCGAGAGCACATCTGAACAAAGGAGGGAAGCAATTTTTATTCCGTACGCAATTTGTCCCTGCTACTGTGTCCTGTCTCCATTGGCTGGAGCCAGACCTCACAATCTAAACTAAAAGCCTATTGGCGAACAGTTTAAAACTTTTCTAAATAGGTGAAAGTAATGGGAAGACAAAGGAAAAGAGGAAGTTGCTTATGCCAAATAGGGAAGAAGCATAGGCTGCAAGCTGGGATATGCCTGCGAGCACGTCCAGTACAGATATTTTGGTTAAAGCACAAAGACACAGAACGTATCACGTGCCTGTGAGCATGTTTAACAGCTCCATAGGATAGGGCTTAACGAAGAGTTATTAGCACAAAGCAAGGAGGCTTGAAGGAAATTAGTCTTTACAATAAACTATTTTCTTAACACTGATGATTTATTCTTTAACAAGAAGGGAAACTGTGTAGAGGAACTTGGACTTTACACACAGGGAACTAAAGTTCAATATTTGTTTATGATTCACTTTTCCTTTTTCCTTTTTTTTTTTTTTCTTTTTTTGAGACAGGGTCTCACCCTGTTACCCAGGCTGGATGGAGGGCAGTGTGGTACAATCGTGGGCCACTGCAGCCTCGACCTCCCAGGCTCAAGTGATCCTCCCACCTCAACCTCCCAAGTAGCTGAGACTACAGGCATGCACCACCACAACTCAGCTACTTTAATGTCTTTACCTTCCTCAAGGCTAATGGTTTCAACAGGTCATCCCACATTGAAGCATGTATCAGTAATTCATCCTTTTAGCCAAATAATATTTACACCATGTAAATTTTACTTCAAAGAAAAAAGAGCCCAGGTGTGGTGACTCACACCTGTAATCCCACTCTTGGGAGGCCAAGGTGGACGGATCGCTTGAGTCAGGAGTTCAAGACCAGCTGGCCACCATAAGCAAACTCCATCTCTACTAAAAAAAAAAAAAAAAACTTAGCCTGGCATGATTGGGGGTGCCTGTAGTCCCAGCTACTTGGGAGGCTGAGGCAGGAGAATTGCTTGAACCCAGAGGTGGAGTTGCAGTGAGCTGAGATTGTGCCACTGCACTCCAGCCTGGGGCGACAGAGTGAGACTCCATCTCAAAGGAAAAAAAAAAAAAAAGAAAAAGGCCAAGTGCTGTGGCTCACCTGTAATCCCAGCCCTTTGGGAGGCTGAAGCAGAAGAGATCACCTTGAGCCCAAGAGTTCAAGACCAGCCTGGGCAACATAGGGAGACACCATCTCTAAAAAAAATATAAAAATTAGCTGAGTTGGCCGGCGCGGTGGCTCAAGCCTGGTATCCCAGCACTTTGGGAGCCGAAGACGGCGGATCACGAGGTCCAGGAGATCGAGACGATCCTGGCTAACACGGTGAAACCCCCGTCTCTACTGAAAATACAAAAAATTTACCGGCCGAGTGGGCGGGCCCTGTGGGTCCCAGCTACTCCGGAGGCTGAGGCCAGAAGAATCGGCGTAAGCCCGGAGGCGGACCTTGCAGTGAGCCAAGATTGCACCACTGCACTCCAGGCCCGGGCCACAGAGCAATGACTCCGTCTCAAAAAAAGAAAAAAAAAAAAAAAAT